CGTCACGAGTCACGATCAGTGACCGTCACGGTGATCTCCTGCTTTTGACCATCATGCCCGTGCAGATACACGAGTCGCTACGACTCACCAACCTGTCCAAGCTTCCTCTATCTCTTCGGGTGGGGTTTTTAGCATGCCCTCACGCTCTGACCTCATAAATCCATCCAGACATCCGCGAAATCTGCTGCTGATGGGTCGTACTCGGATCTTCAAGCAATATTTGCCTCCTTCCCGGACTTGCCGAAGCGAACACGCCTGTTGATTCTTCCGGTGCTCTATCTCCATCTCAATCTTGACGGACTTCCCCCTTTGGCCCAGCTGGACGCAATTTGCTCCGACCCGAATCGGGAGGAAGAGCTTCATCGAATTCTCATAGCGATCGAGTGCCTCAATACGCTCTCGGTATCTTTCAACCAGGATTTGATACCCAAGGGAGCTTATGCGGATCTCTGGCCCCGTCTGCACCCCTGGGTCATATTCTTCTATACATATCACGATCTTATCCCTTTCACCACGCCGCCCCCAGCCGCCATGGTTATTCGCTTGTGTGGCGATATCGTCGTGGGCGTCGACAAGTACAAGCCCATGTCGGATCGGGTGCGAAGTTCTTCCCAGGTGCGGGCCGTCCTCACGGCGTACTGGGCTACCCTCCTTGGACCGGACGCTGGAGACTCCATGGACGCAGACAGCGGTGTACCTGGCGCCACGGTGCGGGATGAGCGGTGTACGAACATCCTCGCCATTCTCTCCGACGACCCGTACGACAAGCAAAACCTCGCGGACATGATGGAGGGCGCGGGCGACAGCGACACCTTGACGTATCTGCTGGTGACGCAGCTCAACTATTTCCTAGCGCGCGGCTTCTCTAAACTCACCGTCATAACGGCGAATACGGCCCTCGCGATTGTAGGCAGCGTGAGCGTCCGGAGGGTCGAAGAGGACGCCTTCAACCGGGGGCTCCACTTTCACGGCATCGCAAAAGCGCTTGCGGGGACGCTCTGTGCGCTCGACGTTTGGTTCCACCAAGGCGGTGGGCGGACCGTGGAGCATAACACCATAACACTGCCGTTGAACTCTCCCTCACCCTCCTTGCCGAGTATTTCCGCTGGCGCGTGGGCCACGAAGCCATCGCGCGGGCCTTGGACGGCGGCCTCCTCACCTTCATCGTCTCTTCGCGTACGCTCCCGGCGAACGCGTACCCCATCATCAAAAATCTCCTGGAGGCCCTCATCCCCGGCGCGCTCGTCTACTACCCCGTCGTGTGCCAGATGCGGATATCCTACGCCGAGGCGCTGACCTATACCACCGCCTCAACCTTCGCGAGATCCAAGATAGCGCCACTATGGGAGAAATTCACCCCGGTGGTGAAGCTGCGCCTCGGAGCGCTGGAATTCTTCCATTCCCCGCAATGGATATCGTCTAAAGTGTGCGAAAATATGGAGGTATGTGTCTGGCTCCCTCGCGAAACCCGCTGACGCCATTGCGCACAGTGCTTCAAGCTCGCGGAAAAGGTCAAGTTTAAAACTTGTTCTGGCTGCGACTACTTGTATTACTGCTCCCCCGAGTGCCAAAAGGCCGATTGGAAGGCGGGTCATCGCCAATGGTGTCCAAAACTCGCACCGCTCGGTTAGTCGCGTCTCCCAGATGTACTCGTACCGAATCCTAAACCCGCCACAGTGGACTTCCCGGGCCTGGTCCGTCCACGGAGCCGCGCCTTCCTGCGCGCGATGCTCTTGTACAACCTCGCTCAATTCCGCCCCCAAATCATGCTCCACCAAGCGTACTGGATGTACGCCGCCCCCGACACGCCGTTCTTCACGTCGTTCGACTTCCAGACGCTCGGGACCGACGAGCCGTTCGTCAAGATCGAGCCCCTCGCGACGTACGCGCGCGCACCGGAGGCGGGGCTGCGCCTCGCGCAGCTGGCGAAGAGTCGCGGCAGGATGCAGCTGCATGCGGTGATTATCAACGGCAACCCGCCGTTGCTGAAGATGTTCTGCCTGTGGTCCACCAGCGCGCATATGGTCGACGGGATGCAGCGGATCGTCAAGGCGTTGCCGCCCGGCCTCAAATACGAGGATGCGTACCCTAAGCTGATCATGCAGCTCCGGACGCTGCACATGGAGTGCGTGGCAAGCCAGATTCACGATGTTTACTTGTGAGGAATCCACGACTGCCCCCCGGAGCCTTTCTCTCTCGAATACTCCTACTATTCCCTTGTACACGGCGTGCCTCTTGGATGCAAAGGATGAGCCACGAGATTTTTCCCTTCATTCCCTCCGTTGTCGGGTTCCCAAAGCGCTCCTTTCCTGTGTGGAAGGCAAATGGATCTAGGATGTACGAGGCGGTATGAATTTCTGCAAACCAGCCCACCTACTCAACCTGACAACAGAAAACCAACGAAAACCAACGAAAGCTCGTTTGGTTGGATTCAGCTCGAACACTGCGGATTACCGAACTCGTATCATGGATGCGAGGACGACTCATGATATAGGCTCGGTGGTGAGTGGCCCACGCCTGCACCAGATGCATGCGGTCTCCGCACAACTTCTGCAGGAACACCCGTTCGACTCGGGACCGAGCCGTAGATGTTGGCGATCCGCTGCTTTTTTTTTTGAGGGGTTCGTCAAACCTCAGACGCAAGCCCTCCGGCGTACGAAATCTGGATCCGCCCGTGTTTCACGAGCTCGAGAGCGTTGAAGCTCCGGTGGCTCATGTGCTTGACAGCGCTCTTGTTGAATTTCTGCATCAAATAATGCCAGCAGCAAGCCAATCTCATTCTCCAGATCAACTGTAAATGAGCCACCTCACCTCACCTCACATAGGTGCCAGTTCGGAGTGAGATATAGGCTCGGTGGTCGGTGGCCCATACCTGAACTCGATGTGTCGACAACTTCTGCAGGACGCGCCCGTTCGACTCGGGACTGAGCCATATGCTGAATATCCATCAAGTTTTCTTCCATTTTGTTGAACCTAAGATACATGCACCCTGACCCTACCTCAGACGACAGATATGCAAGCAGGTAGCGGTGGTTCGTGAGCTTGAGAGTGTTCTTTATTCGTATCCCGACTCCCGTAGTCCTCACTGGAGAGTTCGGGGTTGGATTCACCCCGATGAGTCGACGAAGCCACTACTGGCGTCTTCGGTACTCAGCTGATGTAGGCTCGGTGGTGGGTGGCCCACGCCTGTATGTTCTGTGATCGTAGCACACAACTGCTTCTGCAGGAACCTCCGTTCGACTCGGGACTGAGCCATTACATAACGTTTTCCTAGTTTTTTGTTTCGTTTCAACCGTCTCTGCGTCTCATTCTTTCCAACCAATCTGTACGCAGTCGTTGAATACACATCCATATCATAGTCTTCAACAACTTGAAGTTCTCCATTGATTACCCCCAACCTCACTCCCCCGCCTCCTCCCCCAACATCCGCCCCAACACCCCCCACACCGCCGCCCTCTTCCCCGCGTCCTGCGCCCACGCCGCGCACTCACTGGGGTTGAGCTTGTAGTCGAAGCGCCGGTTCGTCTCGCCGAGGGTGTGGGGTGCGTCTGGAGATGCGAGGATCTGCGACGGTTGTTGAACATTAACATTAGGTGCAGAAGTTGAATTGGGACAAGTACGTACATAAACCGGAATATTGGCATACTGGTCGGGCGTGGTGCCGATGAGGCGGAGGCCGACCCACATCGCGAGCTTGATGAACCCCGGGAACTTGCTCAAACTGAACTGCTCGCTCTTGACGAGCCCGGGCCAGAGGGTATAGTAGCGATTCGTTGGGTAGCGCGTATTGAGTTCCTGCTCCCGCCAACCCAATCAGCAATTGCTCACAAGTCGGCTGTGGGGGACATTTAATAATCAAACGCACCTCGGTAAACGAATCAATAACCGTGCTATCGCGCTTGCTCTGGTCCATGAAGAGCGCCGTCACGCTTTTGGACTGAGTGCGCGTCGCGAGGGTGAGGTCCGCGGCGTCGAGGTCGTCGAGAGAGCGGCCCGTGGAGCAGATAGACATGACGGCGGCGCCGGTGGGGGCGAGCGCGCCGCGCGTGGTGAGGAGGTACGCGAGGCCGAAACGGGAGAGGCATTGGATCGCGAAGGGGGTGTCGATCCCGTCGGCGTTGGGTACCATGGCTCCTTTGGGGACGCCGTTCTGGGTCATAACCTGCGGAGGACGTCAGCTTTAATGCGGAATTGCGGGCAACAAAGGGGAGGTGAAAGGCTCACGAGGTAATCAATCCCCGCATCGCCGACGGTGTGCTGGATTGCCTCCGCAGCCGCGCGGATGCCTTTCTTATCCCTGAACAGAAAGGCATGAATTTAGCCTGGAGCCAATTCCCAACGGAGAAGAGGTTGAACATACGACACATCCGCCTTGATAAAGTCCACTGCGATCTTGCTTCCCGAGGGTGCGAGGTGTTTGAGAGTAGCGAGCATGGCGGTACCGCGTATCTCGTCCCGCCCGACGATGACGACCCGTGAGCAGCCCAGCTTTGCGAGCAGGCGGGCAACACCAGCACCGATGCCGAGGGTTCCGCCTACGACGACGGCGGTCTTGTTTTGTCCGGTGAGGGAGACGGTTTTCAGGGCGGCGGCGGCGTCGGGGGGCATGGTGAAGAGTGAGTAGCGTTGTGGAAGAGGTCAAGACATGTTGGTGCCTTTTTGTTGTGGTGGTCGGAAGCCAACCGAGGCGAGTGGACAACCGTGGAAAGATATCACAGCGGGCCGCGACACGGCTCGACAAACCACGCTGACGTTGCTACCGAATCGTGGGAACATTAACTCAACCGACTCAACTGGGCCCTTCCAAGATTGCGGTATCCTTTCAGCGGTTTTCTCTTAGTTGTTTTTTTTCATCCCCGGTGTCCCACCATCAATAAAAAAAAAACCCAACCCACAGAAGCAAAAGAGTGGACCAGACACTGCGACGTATCCACTCGCGGTTTTATTCCCCAGTTATGGCCGATCGGCGCAAGTTAGGAGCGCCAGCATCGCCGCTTTAATGCCCCTCAGGGTTCGAACCCTCGACCACTTCGGAACTGAAGTGACCGGCTCAGCGGTGGGTTAAACCACTGAACTAGAGGGGCATTGATATTGAAAGTGGCATATATAACACAACGTTGTGTGGCCCTTGGACGTCGAGTTCATCAAATTGAACGCCTCAGAGTAACAGGCCGTTGTGCAATTGGCGTTGTGAGTTGGAAACCCACCAAAAGTTCAGCCCTGCCGTTTTGGGCTGCATATTGTTGATGTCCGATGAATGGGGATAAGAAGCGCCGAATTTTGCAGAAAACCAGGAGAATCTCGGTCCTGGAGAACATTTGAAGGCCAGTGTTTTTGTTTTTGGTCAAGTCAAGCAGCAGCTAATTTCCACCGCGTAACCCATCCCATACTTCGCCTGGACTGGTCGGGTGACACATGTACGTAAGTTGAACCGTGGGAATGAAATCTGAACACCAAGCCGACATTTCTCGTTCGACATTGTAAGCGATATTCTAAGTCGGCAAAATTTACACAGGGGAAGCGCTGCTTCAGAATCCTCAGGACAGGTTAACTAGCAACATAGCCGCTTCGATAGCTCTAACTTACATAACTTGCCTGAGAGCCCTTCAGCCATCAATGTCCACGAAGACGATGATATTCAATTGTTTCCATATATCCCGAGCTCTGGATGGTTGGAGTGAGTCATGTCGTTGAATTTTCAATGTTCACAATCCCACCAGCCGGGGTAAAGTGGGCAGGCAGAGTGGGTGCCGAGTCCATCAGTGATAATTATTTCCCTGAGCTCCTCGACGATGTCCTTCGCCTCTTCCATGCCTTTGCCATCGCCATCCCGCGCTGCTGGACGATGTCGAAGTATGTATCTTGTTCCTGCTAGGCATGTCTGTTGGCTTGAGGTAGAGGAACTTGCGGGGGTGGCTGAAAGAAGTCTGTCTGAGCAGGGCGTTTTGCGGAACTTATTATTCGAGGTGGTACGTACATCAAAAACGCCGAAGAAAGAATCGCAATGCATAAAGGCCGACACACATTTTGATCGTGATTAAACGGTCGTTAGCGGACGGCAGTTGGGGGGGGGGGGGGGATTTATTATACTCGCGTGGTCCAAATGTCTGAACAACGAGTTTACGGAAGGTATACAAATAGTAAATGTAAGAGTGGTTATTCTTACATGTAGCTACAGGATCGTTGGATGGATGAACGGTGAGTGATGCTTGTACTGCGTGTCCATTGATCGTGGAACGTCAGAATCTCGAAGACTGGCTGCTTCACCGGTAGTGCTCGGGGTGATCGCAGACTCACTCGAGTTACAGAGTCTGATGGTCGAGGATGCAAGACGAGAAGGAAGACAGTGTGCTAATTGTCCAAGTTAGGAATTCCAAGAACCTATCTACGACACAGGTATTTACATTATGCAGGTCGCAGGTGCCAGTACAAATGCCAGCGAACGAAGGAAATAAAGGAAAAAACGAATGTGGGTCGACGTCGGGTCGAAATGAGGTGGTATTAAGGAGCGTGTGGGGGTGTGTGTGGTGAGTACTTGATCTAAGGGAAAAGTCCAAAACTAGAAGAAATAACCGCGTTTCCGGTGTCCCTTCGTCTTCTTCACACACGAGTCGCCCTCAGCGGAGACGACGTAGTTTTTGCGGCACTCAGTCACGACGCAGCGCCCCATGCTGCAGCTCACAGCGTTCACGTTGGGAATCACACTGCAATCCTGGCCGGTGGAGGGCATCGCACCCACACACCCCCCGCACGACTCGAGCGAGCTCTGCGTGTCGACGCACTCGAAGCTCTTGGAGCCCGTCATGACGGGGCACAGCTGCTGGAACGCCGGGCACGCCATGACCTCCTGCGGCGCGGCGCGCGTGTGCCGGTGCGAGGGGCTCGGCGACGCCGTGCACGTCGCCGACCCGGGCGAGGACTGCTTCCCGCGCGGGCAGGGGAGGCAGCCCGCGAATCCGCCGGCGCCGTAGAAGTTGCGCGGGCAGTCGTAGCATTTGGTGCCCAGGTGGAACTCGCCCGGGGGGCAGCCCTTCTTCTTCTGGCATTGGCCCGGGCCCGAGCCGCGCTCGCAGCCGAAGCCGCTCTCGCAGCTCTTGCAGACGGTGGCGCCGTACTCGGACCAGGTGTCTTCGGGGCAGGCGGCACAAACGGCGGAGTCGGCGCCGGAGGCGAAGGTTCCAGGGGAGCAGCTCGTGCAGGTCGTGCCCGTGATGTACTTTCCGGCCGGGCAGTGAGTGGCGCACGAGGCGGAGCCCTGAGGTTGAGATTAGTTTGGATATAGCTTCGATGCGGCGCACTTACAGCGATGGAGCTTTGTCCCTGGGGGCAGGAAGTGCAGTGGGAGGCTCCGGCGGCGGAGAACTTGTTGGCGGGGCAAATGCTGCACTGGGTGGAGGTGCCGTCGCCCTTCGTCCCCGCAGCGCACGGAGAACATTTGCTGCCGTCGATGAACTCGCCAGCAGCACACTGGAACGCAACACACGACGTAGAGCCCTGAATCGCACGTTAGTTAAGTTGACGGTACATTGTTTCGAAGTGTTGGTTGGACTCACAGCAGCAGACTTCGTCCCGCTCGGGCAGGTCGTGCAGGCGCTGGCGCCATCGGCGTTGGAGAACGAGTTCGCCGCACAAGGGGTGCAGGACGAGTCGCCAGCGGCGCTGAACGTCCCCGCCGAGCACGTCCCGCAGAAGTTCCCACTCAAAAACTGGCCCGAGGTACACGTGAGTGCGCCGCACGACGCAGAGCCCTGCGAACAACTTAAAACACAGTCAACTGGGAAATACACAGAGACTTACAACCTCTGACGAAGTCCCGTCAGGGCAAGTGATGCAAGGATTGGTACCGTCTGAAAAGTGGTTGGCCGAGCAAACAAGGCACGAGCCAGTAGTAGTTCCATCGCCATAGCTGCCCGGAGCGCACGCGGTACATTTGTGCCCGTCGATGAAGGTACCAGCATCGCACGAAAGCGAGTCACACGCCAGCGAACCCTAGACGCACGTTGAGACGGGCTCAAGTGGGAAGTGAATAAATAGGGACTTACAGCCTGAGACGACGTGCCGTCTGCGCAAACGGCGCAAGCGCTGGTACCGTCCGAAAATTCGTTGGCTAAACAAGCAGGGCAGGAGCCGGTGCTGGTCCCGTCACCGTAGCTGCCCGGAGCACACGCGGTACATTTGTTGCCGTCGATGAAGGTGCCGGGTGAGCACGAGAGGGTGCTGCACACCGAGGAGGCCTGGATTCAATCGCGTCAGTCGATCGGTGTATTGAAGTCGAAGATGAGGGGCGAGGCGACTCACAGCACCAGAGGAAGTACCGGGCGGACACGTCGCGCAGACGCCGTTGGTGGAGTACGTGTTGGGTCCGCACGGGCTGCACGCGGTGGCGTCCGCGCCGCTGGAGTACCCCGCGGGGCAGGCCGAGCAGGAGGTTCCGGAAATGAAGGTTCCGGGGGCGCAGTGCGTCGTGCACGAGGTGGAGCCCTACAGGAGTGCGAGCTCAGATGAGTGGATGAGTGGAGGAGTGATCGACTGTTGACTCACGGCAGGGGCCGTCTGGGTTCCAGGGCAGGAGGAGCATTGGGTGGCTCCGGCGGCGGCAGAGAAGTGGTCGGCGGGGCAGTCGGAGCAGCCGCCGTTGTGCCTGCAGGAACAGCTCGGGCGTTAGATTCGATTCGGCGAGGTGAAGAAGAAAGTGGCTTGGCTGGACGTACGAGTATTGACCAGCGGGGCAGGACTTGACGCATCCGGAGGCCCCCTATTTTAAATTAACAGAAGGCCGGTCAGCGCGCTCAGGGTTGAGACAATTGCGAACGTACGGGTCCAAAGGTGTAGCCAGCGGCACAGCAGGAAGCGGGACAGCCCGAAGAGCTGCTGATGGAGGTCATAAGGGATCCGGTGGCGGGGACATAAGCTAGAGAGGGGATAATTTGAGAACAGTTAAATTGTGAGGGAGTAAGAGTCTACTGACCGCAGTGCGTGACGTGGTTATTGGAGTTCTTATAGCTGTTACGGTGGGTCAACCGCCTGCATCCAAGATCTCAGTTGGAGGAAACTACGCACCGACAGTCGATATCAAGCCCGACGGGTTGATCGTATTCTGAAGTGAGCGTGAGGCCCGGCAGGGCAGGACAGTGGACCTGTAATCCGAATGCTCAGGACAAGTCGAGAGTAAGGGGCAGCAGGAAGGGGAGAACTCACGCAGACAGAGGCGCCGCGAACGAAGGTGGCGTTGGCTCGGGAGGAAAAGAGGAGGAAAGAGGCGAGGAGGACGACCTTCCGAGCCGCCATGGTTGTGTGGCTGACGCTTACTGGCAGACAGTCATGCTATCCCTCCGCCTTTATAGTATATGGTCCGGCCTAACCCTTAATCCCACTCACCCCCTAGCCGTCGAAGTTTGTCGAAAAGTGTTGAAAAACAGGGGTCCGGCCAGGAACGATTTGTATTGCTTGGATTGTAGGGGTCGTGCCTAAACAGAAACAGTAGTCAGAGAGTATTCAGAAGACGAGCTTGAGACGAGCGTTCGTCGAAAGGACGTACCCGATTTCTTCACTTGCGTTCAAGTTGGCAGTGGCGCTTCTTTGAGCCGCAAGTCTGGCAGCGAGTCATTTTGGAAGAGGGGGAGAAGCCAAGAGACCGATGAGCGCGCTATAGATGGAGACCCCGCTGGACATGTGTTTTGGGTAAAACGGGCGGGCGACGAAGCGGAGTTCTTGGCGATCACGATCGGCATCGCGGCGGGGATCACCATATTAGGGTTGAGAAATCGAATTCTACTTGAGTCCATGCAGCATAGCGGGTGCTCAAGCGCGAAGGACATTTGTGCCGAGGGGGAATTGCGCTTGGAGGAACGAACGACGACGGAAAGCCACAAGAAAGCCGTGATCATGATGGGACAAGTCTTGCGATTGAGCGGGTTGGGGTTGTATCCTTGGTCTTCTGCGAGGGGACGATTGATTTGCGATCGTTGATCCAAGTTTTCTTCTTCTTCTTTTCCACTTGAGGGTCCAGTAAAGGGCTGAACGAGTCCCGTTGCGGAGTTGGTTTGCGGTGAGCCATGATTCCGACACGGTTCAACCGAGACTT